AGAACTGTCAGGAAACATCCCCTTAAAATTTCAGCTTTTTAGCTTTCCTGGCTCCTGAGTTAGCAACTTACTGGAAGAAAACTTTCACGGACCCGCACGCAGGTACCACGCATTCCCGATTTCTGGGTTTGAGCTCGTTGAGACTTACTTGGACGGGGGACATCACCCTAAGATTTCAGCATTCTAGCATCTCAGATCCTCGAGTTACAAACTTACCCGAAAAGAATTTTGGCAGGCTCGTACGCAGGTACCACGCTTACCCGGGGGCTGAGTTTGAGCTCATTAATACCTACTTGAACGGGAACATCCCCTTAAAATTTCTGCCCCCCCCCCCGGCGGGCCGGTACGCGGTACCACGCGGGTAATGGCGCCCATTTTGGGGATTGTGCCCCGCGCGTGCATGTAGATTAAGTTCCCAAAGTTTTCAGCCCTGTAGCTTTTGTAGGTCTAGAGATGAGAAAGCGTGACAGACGCAGACACGGACACACAGACACACACATAGACAACCCTTCGTCAATATGCGTTTTCTGCATTGCATAGCTACAAAAAACGCATAAAAAAAGAAAGTAGAGGAAAAAACAAGCTTAATCGAAAATATATTAGCGCTAAAAGTACAGAAAAACTACTAATACCTGTAAAAGAAACTACAATAATAATGACAACAGTGGCTATAATAATGACGATAATGAGAAACAATGGCAATAAGGGCAACAATTACACATAGTGGCACTTAAATATTTATTGCAATAGTAAAAATACTAATGAAAATGCTAATAGTATCAAATAACAACTTGGTAGTAAAAACAATTAAAGTGAGCAGCGAAATTTACGTGTTTTTCAAGCCAAAGATGTTTAACAGCAATTCCACTTAGGCTTCAAAAGAAATTGTAGAAATTTGATACGCTACGAACAGTAAAACTGTATCTCCCTCTATATTTCGACAACTTGGTGAGTAAATTCGGAGCTCATTCACTCGAATCTCCGATCTTCTGCTTCAACCCAAAAATTTCCTGTGCTGTCTAAATTACTATCGAAACAAAACGGTCGTCGTTCAGTAGTTCCCCTATCCATTTTCTCCACCCCTCTCGTTCATCTTCTCATTGCAGTTTTTTTTTCCCGATGCGTTAACTTAACTCTATTTGATATGATGCGTGAAAGTAAGTTTAACAGATACCTTGAGTTGGTTGGCTCAGCTCGGCATCCAGACCGCTACTTCCACAAATATCATCACCAAAGTTTGGCCCTTCCGTAAAGTCTACGTCGCAACCATCCAATACCTAAAACGCAGAAAACAACTGAACTTACAACACAACCCTCAACGCAAATACGGTCATCGACGTAAAAAATATACTTCCGGCTTTCGGGTAACGCTTACCCTCCTCTTTTTGTCAGCAGCTGAAAGGAGTTTCGCATATCCACAACAACGACAAATTCATCGATTGTTGGAAAAAGATCACCTATTCGAAACCACAATCAACTCAAAAATGCATTCAAAGTGATGCGGCTAGACTGTCGGGGAATGAAGCGGTTTGACTGGAAAACATCTGATACTCCCATCTGGCAATTTCTCAGTAATACGAAGAATGAGAGTAAGTAAAATCCAAATTTTCAACCAAATTCAAAAAATCTCAGCAAAGACTCCTGAAACTCCAAAATCCTCAAAAAACATGCTTCGCATTGCTGCATATTCCTTGTTACAAACTAAAGATTAAACACAACTAGGGGAAGTTTGGGGAATTCCTAAAGTTTAGATAATGGAGGAATTAAGGTAAAAAGCACTGAAAAAAAGTTGCACAAGTCGAAAATCAGTGGGGAGATAAAAATAAAAAAGAAACTGTGAAATGGTATGCTCTTTTAAAATAAGGCTGAAGCTTCAGATTTGTTACAATAAAAGGAAAAACTGTCTTCCCACAATCGCCCCGCAATTAGCAGGAACAAGGATGCGATGCAGTCTGGAAAAAATCCCGGAAAACGGCGGTCTAAACCAAAGTAACATCGGCTCGAGGGTAGCTATGACTATATTGCATTCATAACAATTACCTCAAACGTAGAGTCGTCGACTGGCGAGTGTTGTGAACAAATTTTATTAACTTTTACGACACATTTATTGTGACAGACCAACAAACACTTTGTGCAATGTGAAGCGGTTTTCAGCCAAACCTTCCCTTGGCAAACTGCACACAGAACTGAGCCTGCAACAACAGTGATGTAGAACAACTTCTTCCGCTATCCAAAATGCAGGAAAACTTATTTTAAAGTAAATTTTTTGAAGAGCTAATAATAATAACATGGACAAAAGAAATTCCGCATAGTTGTTCCCTCCGTGAGAAATGATCAGATCTTCCGCAAAGAGCGAGCGAAAGTGTAGAACTGGAAATGGGCTTACGAGGAGGCATCGCCAGACGATGCCTACCAATAATAAACTCAGATGTAGGTCAAACGAATTCACAAGCTGAGCAGAGGTAAGCTCACATTTTTGATATCAGCATTCGTAATTAGAAGCACTGTCTCCAGGGATTATCTAAGTGTTTGTATTCAGCCTGCCTTCAACAGTAATACGATATTCGCAGTTTGTCAGCCGAATGAACGCGCTATACCCACTAGTTTTGCTTCTTCCTATACCTCTGACAGTCCCTTGTACCACAGCCGAGAAATATGCAGATTAGATTACATCTTTTCAACCTTGTAACAAAACACAGTACTAAAAAATTTTAGTCGCCTTTTTTGCTTCATTATATTCCAGTCTTTTTGAGTCCTTTCTCGTCCAATCGACTCGATGGCAAACTGGAAAAAGGAGTAGGAGAGTATGTGTTTTTTCCACTTCGGGCGACTTCCAAATTTTTCCGAATTGCATTTAAAATAGTATATAGAGAAAGTCTTGACTTCTTCCACAATTTCGAGGATGTCGAATATAATGGAAAAAAACCTGCAAGACTATTCTAGCGAACAAACTGAACTGCAAATCATAAGGCTAATTAGGCAACGCAGAAATGGTTTAAAAATCATTAGTAAACCTTTCAATACAATATTTTCAAAATGATGTTTTGGCGACCCCAACACTTCGAAATCAAGCGCACCGCTACTCTTCGTACTTTCTGCAGTTTCTCCACTAAAAACAAAAATGCTCATAACACATGGCAAAAAATTTCACTTCTGTGTTGTTAGACAAAGGATTCGCGGAAGCGCGAAAACCAGCCGAGAAGTTAATCAGCATGCGCGCAAAAAACAGTGAAGGATGGCCCCCTTGTTTTGCATCAATTGCATACGGATCTCCACCCCGTAAATTCTAGTTCCGGCCGCCTGTAATAATCGATTCATTTTATTGTAAAGTCTGTATTTTGTGTTGTATTCGTTATTGTGAGGGCGCCAAATTATAATTCAACATTTTCTTCGGTGGAATAAGGATGTTTTGCCACCAAGCTTTGTTGCGCCAGAGATCAGCAACACTTAGCGTCGATGCCTTCCTCGTTGCCAACCGAGTCTCGTCGTCAGGAGTTCGTCGTGGATTGACTTGGGCGCAGCGCAGGCGACGTATCCGGAAAATGCTCGGAAAGTGGACGTTACAGTGTTTAACAAGTCAAAAAAAAATTGCTCATATTTCGAAATGACACCATCTCTTACCCCCCACCCCCCACCCTCTCTCCCCTTCGCCGCAATGTACGTTTGTGCTTCTGTTCTTATATTTAAGTATGAATTTTACTAGTTTCACCCCCGTCAAACGAAGATTAAACAGGACTGTCGAAAACAAGAACTAGATAAAACCTCACCACGAAATGCCATGAACGTCTTTTGGAAGTCCAGATGGGAAATACCGAAAGCCAAGGACAATATCACCATAACAAAGACGTTCATCGAAGCCAGCTCGACGACTAGACTCGATCGCTTTTGGTGTCAACGGACGCCTAAACGGGAAAAAAA